TAATTTAATTAAGAACTATAAGGTATTTATCCCGCCTTCCTAGCGTGCCTTCGTGGAGTAGTGTTTCTGCACGCTGGGCCGGTATTCCAGAGGCCGTGGTTAGACTGTCGGCGAAGGCGTTTTTAATTTTTCATCTCTTCGACTTTTCCAATTAACCTAATATCTTTACAGTGACACCCGAACTAAAAGGATAAGGACTTTCCACACTCAAGATTTGGCGTTTGGTTCCCCTAAAAACCCCAGTCGCCCTCTAAAAGAGGAAGTATATAAGGTATTTCTCCCTCCTTCCTAGCGTGGCTTCGTGGTGTTGTGGTTCTCTGCACACTGGGCCCATATTCCAGAGGTCTGTTGTTCGATTCCCGGCGCAGGTGTTGTTAATTTTTCATCTCCCTGGCTTTTTCAAATAACCTAATGTCTCTACAGAACTATTTACATGTAATTATATTTTTATTGGATTACCTATGAATTTCGTACAAATACTTATTTAGACCTATTTTTAAAGCTTAACCACTGCTAGGTAGGTATTTATTCTCCACTCACATCTTGAGATATTTTTCCGTGCTAAAACGTCCTTTTAGATAGCTGGCATTCAAGCAAAAAGGTTGCTTTTTCAGGATAAACCTAAGTACAGTTTCCAGCTCTTTCTTTCCGGGTGGCTTGAAGAATTTGCCTAGCCGTTTCTTTTACTTCATGATGGCTGATGTTTTATAACACCTGTAACTGGTTAGACGCTATGCATGCTTCAACATTAATATTTTGAATTTTGCGACGAAGGCTTTATTTACACCTGATGGTTGCAAAAAAAAGTCTTCCAGTCTTGAACTCTCAATTTTTCTGAAAAAAATATATTTGAATGTACTCATGTAAAAATGAATAACAGTAAAGGAATTAGCTGTTAACATTCCATAAATAAAAAATTAAAATTTTGCAAAAAATAACAAGATTTGGCTATTTGGCAACATCCAAAATTTTTAAAAATTCACTCGCAACAAAACTATAAAATAATGAATGAAGAGACAGCAAGCGAAAGATATATATTCTGGCTACCCCACACACGGTAATTTAAAACGGAAAACTGTAGAACTAATGAAACTTTAATGTTTAAAATCCCAAGTCAGTATACAAGAAGTTCTGAAAATCATTTTGCTGCCGGAAGATGCCTCAAATTGTAGATATTTTAGCACACTAGGGATAGTACGCACTTTACATCATAATATTGCTGATTGGGGATTGAATGCACAGCACAGATGAGGTATAGTAAATAATGATGAGAACAGTAATCCACTTTAAACCAGTTGGAATTAGCGAAATAAATCGAATTTAAGTTTCAGAGCTGCAAAGCTATTGGCAACCGAATGTTAGAACCACTGACCTCAAGTCGGTCAAATGTGGTTTAAATCACGGTGAATCTATTGGCTTAAGGAAACTTTATGTAGCTTTTCTCATGGGGAATGTAAATAGAAGGCATTTACCTAAAACATCTCTTTAATGTAAACTTTTTGCCATCTTCTGGAGAGCTTTTCTCCAGTAACAAAAATACTGCAAATATATTTAAACCTGCTTAAATATATTTTGGACACACTGCAAGCTACACTTTTTTTCATCTTTTTCGTCTCTTATATTACGCCAGACCTTCAAATTAAGACATTGTTTAGGGCTAAAATTATAATTTAATGTTTTCTTAGTTTTTAGACTTTAGCAACTAATTTGACTGCAAATAAGAAAAAGCTTATTCACATCTTGCCAAAAAGAAAAGAAACAGAGAATGAAAAGGGAATGGCAGAAACATTTACAAACCATAAACAGCAGTCTGCATTTGATGAAAAGTAGATATATATAATGGAATAGAATTAGAGCGTAAAGAGTCTAATTATACAGTCTTAATTTGATTATAAAGATATATATTCAAAAAAAAAACAGACTAGTATGTTCGCAAGGCGAAACTTGGTGTGAATAAATTTTTTATGCATGGTTACTGGACGAAATGAATTCTTAAAGCTGGGCAAATCTCTACAAAATATTTAGCATCGTTAACTAAAATTATTCTGTCTGCTTATCTTATTTAATTTTGATATGTAGTAAAATGTCTGAATTTATCTACAAGAGAATTAAAGTATGATAATTGTAATTATTTAAAAAATAGAATTATTCTAGTGTAACTTTGTTTCTTTATCCTTTGGTTTAATACGGAATTTTTATTTCACTAAATTATTATCTGAAAACTGGTGCTGCAATGTCATTTTTCTTCACTAAATTTTAATTGGAAAATTGTTAAAATAAGGAAATAATTCCTGTGTGTAAAGTCAGGAGAGCTGGCAAGGTTTTTGCTGCGCCATTTTCAAATTCCGGAAAAGCAGTAGAATATTCTCGAACATTGCTTTATTGTTTCTTATCCTGCTTGGGGTCTTGACTACGTGATTCTCGTTCAGTAAGGGACAAGCGTTAATGTTAGGTTACGCGGAAAGGTCAGCGGCTTGGTTTTGGCCTATCCGGGTTTTGGCTTTCGGGCTTACTAGCCGCGCTTGCGCAAAGGTTTGTTTTTGACTGATTTGTCGGAAACGTGGTATTAGTCGGGTTTAAGTGGTGCAAAAGTCTGGATCTCTGGTATCCTGGTGTTTTTTGTGATCGCACAAAGGATTTCGTGCACTCTTCTCTTTTTTCGCTCTTCTTCGTGAGGGTAAGACCTAAAAATGCCTCTGGATAGGTCTTACCACTGGGATTTCGGAAGTTCCGATAGAGGACTGTGCGGTTAATTCCCAGCGTTGGAAAAGACTATAGAATACTGAAAATCATCAGATTTTTGGTTGGAAACTTAATGAACGGAAATTTAATAGACGTTTCGACAGTTCTTTGTAAGAGTAAGACCATTTTTCAGTTTTTGGCGATCTCGTCATTTACGTTTTGCTTGCCACTGACAAGTAAGGCTCAATAAAAATGCCTTCTGAATGTCGATGGACGTATTCCTTGCAGCGATCCATGAGAAACTAAGCTAAAACAGAGTGAAATTATGCAGTGTGTTTTAGAATTTTTTTCTGAGGGTAGTATCGACGGAAATGTTTTTATGAGTTCTTGCTTAGATGAATTTAAGAAGCTCCGAAGTTCTTCGGCTAAGCTGTTTTTCCCGAAAAAGGAAAGTTTCTTCCGGTAGGTCTTATGCCTTTATCTTGCCCTTGAAGGTTGTGAACTATGCCTATCTCACATTTATCAACGTGTGCGGTCAAGAACCACGAGAATGTTCGTCCCATCTCTGGTGTACTGTTTCCGAGATCCGGTCTCCCAAACATCGTAGTTGAGGTTTCGCCAAGAGTTCGCCGAGTGAACTGAATTCTTCTAGGGAAGTTCTTAATTTCTTCAGAGGTAGAGGATTTGGACTCTCCATTTTTTACTATTATCATTATACACTATTTTTTCAGCGGACGGTGCGCATTTTCGTTCAAGCTTCCGGTTATCGATGGCGATAAATACCTTAAAGAATAAGTCTCTCCTTATCATTATTTTCCTGTTTACATTCTCATTCGATTAAAGGATGGGATTTTGATGGACTGTAATTAACTTTGCAAGTTTTCTTGATTTCGAATTAATATAAGCACAATTACACAAGGGCTAAATTTATATAATTACTATGTTAAGAAAATGCCTCTTTCGCCTATCTGGCTGAGGATAAAACTTTATTCTTGAATGCATAATTAATAACGTTTTTTTTTCTTTCATGTAACTGACTTAATGTGTAAAAATCTGAAGTTGTGAACTCTAGTAGTTCTACTAGTGAACCTGGTATATGACATTAAAAGAAATAAATGCTAAATTGGGTACCCAATTGGTTCTCCTTATATGATTGCTTAATCAAATGTTTCCATGTAAAAAAAAATATAATCAATCTTTTACATTTAAATAAAAATGAATACTAAAAAATTTAAATTAATCAATGGATTCTTTTTTTTTACTTTAATATTACTTTATTAATGGTTGTCTTGATTGGACATTCAAACATTCTACCGGCACAATGCAAACAACACTATATTTGGTTTTAATTAAGTTTTCAATTAAATTGAATTTAATAAAGTATCTGAGTCATACCTTACAATTTCATGTATTATTTGGAGAAATTATTGAATTGCTAGTATACTGTAAATTCGGTAGACTGTAGAGACATTAGGTATTTTGGAAGCAGAAAACACGAAAATTATGCAACGTCTTCGCCGGGATTCGAACTGGGCACCTCTCAATTACGCGCTGAGCATGCAGACCACTACTCCACGAAGGCTCGCTAGGAAGGCGAGAGAAATACCTTATATACTCCCCCTTTTAAAGGACGACTGGGGTTCTTAGGCGACTCAGTCGTCAAATCCTGGGTGAGGAGAATCATCATCCAACACCCTTTTTTAGTTCATGCGCCACTGTAAAGACATTAGGATATATATATATATATATATTTTTTTTGGAAGCAGGAGAAATGTAAAAATTTGCAATGCCTTCGCCTGAAATCGAACCACGGACCTTTCAATTACGCGCTGAGCGTGCAGACCACCACACCACGAAGGAATGCGAAAAAGGCGCGAGAAATACCTTATAAGTCAACCAATAAAAAGTGCCGTGAAAGCGGTACATTACAATATATAGCAATTTATTTATTAACTTTAATTATAGAGACTTCTTTCTGAAGGCGGGGAATCTGCTATATTATTTTTCCCAGATCGGGTTAAATCTCATGTAAGCGCAGAATACAGTTTTACTGAAAAACTACGAAATCGTTTCCATTTAAAACAATTGAAGCATTTTCATTGAAAACAATTGAAATAAAACAATACACAAAATAGTAACAATTGCTTTTTCTCGTTTATTAGTAAATAATGTTAAAAAATTTGATTACTAAATTAAGGTGAATGGGAAACTGATAAGTATCCTCTGCAGCCGTGGTCGTCCCCATGTTCGGAGAGTATACGCCCGCAGGTTTCAGCTATTTCTTCCTATGGGTACTTTCCAATCATTTGCCAAGCTACCACATATCTCCATCATGTGATCGAGGAATTTTCAATTCGCCAATCCATTTTTGTTATCCATAACACCAATCCGTATTTGTCAGCTATAACGTTAACATTAAATATAATTTCCTGGTCCATATGTCTACTCCTTTTCATCTACCGCAAATTAATACTACCAGATAAGCAATAACTACGTTTCCAAACTTTTGATCACATTTTTATTCTGCGGTACATCTTAGGAAATCAGTAAACTACCCGTAATTCAGAAATAAACCATTGTCAATTCTAAATTGTACAAGTTCTAATTTTAACCTAATTAATTAAGCCAAAAACGTGTCGCAACTAATAAATAAACAAAAAACGTGTCTCAACTAATTAATTAAACAAAAAAGTGTCTAAAAAAGCAACGTAGCATTAAAATCCTTATCTTCGAAAACCAACTGTGCATTTGTTAAGCTCTAGTATCTAGGACTCATTTTTTTAATAACATGTTACAAAAATACGTGCATTACCATTGACTCCCATGAGTATAGCTATTGTTTATTTACTAAAATAATGCCCTAAGGAAACTAAACGTAATATTTTTATTCTCAATATTTATTATTTTTCTTACTACTGTGATATTGGATATGTGCTGAAATTACCTTACACTCTCACTGAACGTGATTTGCCAAATTTGAAGGTTCTCGTTTTCGTTTGTTTGAAGGTTCTCTTTTCTTTTCGTTCACACAACGCAATCTATAATTTTTACTAACCTTGTAAGGATCCTAAGTTTTACTAACGTTTATTTTATTTTAAATCTTTACTATCACTTCTTATTTTCTACTTCCGGCCAGAATTAAAAGCTTTAACTTATTTATGCAAATTTGTCTTGCTAACGCCAAGTACTTAAGTTGTGGCTTTTTTGCCAAGCAAGAGAGAGGAAGGAGCTATTAGAAGCAGGCCGCTTGCCATAGTAGTTTTACTCGGTTGCTGCTTGCCTTCAAGGCCAGAGGTTTAATCCTCTTGATAATTTTAAACGTATCGTAGTGTTAGCAGTTCTCTGTACTACATACGGCTTTTTGTTAATATACGGCCAATCTTGGAGTTAGGCACTTGTTTGATTAATCCAAAGTTAGTTTAGTTAGAGTTTAGTTAACATTTTTATATTCTTACGTTCAGACCACAGGTGGTTGGTCTCTGTATTCCGAAGTCCGGAAATCATTGTAAAGAGAGAAAAATAAAGGGTTTCGTATACTCTTCCTGTGCGTATTGTCTACTTCCCAAAATTATTGAACATAGCTTTAGTAAGCTCCCTGTTCGGAGTCAGGACAGTTAATGTTCCCTAAGCAAGTAAGGAGGAACATAGAACCTGATAACCTTAGCAATAACAGCAGAGGGAAACGCTTACAGGCTTATGGTGAGCTGGCAGTTGAAAAACGTATGATGAGTTGCAAAATTTTAAAAACGAAATTTAGAAGTTTTGTCAATTAATTCCAATCAAGAGAATGACTTTGTTACGATTAGTTAGGCATTTTGATTTCCGCAAGAATGTATCGTTAGTTTATTTAGTTTTGAGAATACATCAGAAACATATACCAGTGTACTTAGTCACATGTCATCAGAAAGAACAGATGTAAAATCTTGTTAATTTCTTTTACAAATACCAAGGCATTTCTGCAAATCTAGAAGAACCAAAGCTTCAAGTAGGTGTTCGCTTCGATTTCACTTGTGACATTGAGAGTGAGGGTTGGCTTTAAGTAGTTAATATAAGTAAGCCCTTTAGTTGTTACAACGACAACAAACGGATATGGAGTAATTAGTGGAATTGCAGTTTAAAGAAGCTTATGTATGAAACGCCTGTCTTAAAATACATGAATCTCAAAGTGAAAATTTAGTACAGCGTAGAAGCATGGCTTTTCATGTGCGCTTAATTAGACATCTCAACAAATATACACGTAAAGGTTATATGCAGCATTTACAAATTTATTGAATTAGTTATTTCTGAAAGCATAAGAAAACATTATTATTCCTGCATTTACAAATTTCTGCAGTAATAATAATGTTTTCTTATGCTTTCAAAAATAACTAATTTAATACATTTTCTACTTGCAACGATAAATTTAAATGCGAAGTATTTTACTTACGAGATCCATTAAAAACATTTGCAATTTGCCTTAATACAGATCGAATATGCACTAAAAAGTGGTTAATATCTGTTCGTAACTCTAAACGCTTTAGTGAGTTCAGCAACTTAGGTATTAAAACTTAAATTAACACATTTAAATTGAATTATCTTTTTTAATTATATTTATGATTTCTTTGAACATGCACATCATTTGAGATAGTACTTTGATGTGGGAATCGTTAAAAATCATACTCATTTACCATCAAAATCGTTTTACTTTTTTAACTATTTTGTCCTTAGAAACTATCTCAACGCCATGAGGAAGAAATTACATATTAATTGAATTAACATACAGCAATACATTTCGAAATATTTCATAAAACTTCAAAATATCCTCTAACATTTTTAACCATTTGTGTATACAATTGCGTCTGCCCACAAACTGCTAATTATTTCCTTCGTCGAAGCACGGAATTCGGGAAAAGTTTCATTATTAATCAGCAAGGTATAAAAACTTCCACGAAGCAAAATACTCACACAGTAATATAACAGACACATAAAAAGTCTCACCATAAAACATTATCATTTCATCTCCTATTTATCCTTTCCCATGCTCTAATAACTTTCGTTTATCATGCATGAATCGGAACAGCAAAATACAAAGAGTCCACCAGCATATTTATTTGTAGCCTAGACACTAGCAAAGAAACCAATCTCGTTACAGCCTGTTCAGATCTGCGTGTTATTGATTTACGACGCACAAGACCACGACACCAAAGGGCCAAGAAAGATACATGCGGCGCAATTTTTACGGTGGGAACTGAACTTACTTTTTTATTATTATTAACGACGTGGGTGGCAGGTTGATAAAGCGCCAACTGAACAGAGGGGGAGAATTGAGAGGGGAAATAATGCATATTGAAGAGCAACACGACTTTTCAATTAGAAAAGCCTGAATAGAGTGTTTCTGATGATAAGAAACGAATGCTCCAAGCGCTAGAAAGTCGTTTACTCGTTTCTGTAGGGAGTTTTACGCCCAGCATGGATTATTTCGTCTGAATAAGAGGAAATTGTATTTTGGAGAAAAACATTTTGCATTGCACAACAAAGAAAAAGAAGGTAAGAAAAAAAATGAGTTTTTCGGTAAACTTAAATATATATTAGAATCTGGAGAAATTTTACGTGCAACCATCACCTGGCATGATCAAGGCAGAAATTACGACATGTATCGACATAATACCTTCGTCTAGATCAAATAGATCCAGAATTTTCTCTTTCACAGTTGGAAAGCATAACGAATCAACAGTGCCCTCGCTGGGATTCGAACACCGAACCTTCCGATTATTAGCCGGGCTTACTTTCATTCACAACACAAAGTTACAACACTAGGTTAGGAGTATGAAACGCCTTACAATTTATAATATGAAAAATGACCGCGGAATGAAAATAACCGCGGAAATGCTCATGCAACTGATCCGTTACAGTAGAAATAGAGCTTTGGACAAAACAGAATTGGTCTTTTAATTGGCAGTGAGGCAGAGAATGGAGAGACTCTCTTTCGGCACACGATTGGCAGAGAAGTCAAAATTGATTTCTTTCCTTACAGTGGCGTCGATTCCGATATCAATTCTATGCTGTCTTTGATGTAACAATTTAATGCATTTATCTCCTCTTTGGTTATATGCCTTGCTAATTATAAATCTTGTGTACTCCAAGCCATTTTCGACCGTATGCAGATATATCCAACTTTTGACTATGTCAATGCAATGCAAGTGTAGATAAAATTACTGACTAAGTTTTCTGAGAACACATACGCCCATGTCTATTGTAAACATCAAGTCTTTGAATAAGTGGAAAGATGTGGCCATAGCTAAGCAGTGACATCTCAATCAAGTTGAGGTAAATGGAGTGCGAATCCATGAGAATGCATTGCATCAGGGTTTCTTAAAACTGTGGGTCGCGACCCCCTTGGGGGTCTCGGGACCTGCTGCAGGGGGTCGCCGAAAATTTTAGCACTTTTGATATTTCTTTAACTTATAATCATAATTTTACAATTACCAAACATTTTTATACAATGTGTCTGAAAATAGATAAAGATAAGACAATACAGACAAAGAAAAAAACGAAAACGTTTCGACGCATTCTTTTTATAATATAAACGTTCATTTTTCTTGCTTTGCACGTGACGCTGTCATTTCGTTTATTATTTATTTAAAATTTTCACATTGCTCTATGTCTTAAAGTTAGAAATTAAAGTTAATGACCTAAAACTGTATATTACAGTACAAGTGAAGTACCTAAAAATAGTATATTACAGTGCAAGTGAAAAAATTGACAGTTTCACTCACAGTTATTGACACATTGTCACATTGACAGTTATGGGGGTCCCACAAAATGTTTGTAAATATTATGGGGATCCTGGGGGTCGCGCAAAAATCTCAGTGATAAAAAGGTGTCGCGACTGAAATCAGTTTAAGAAACCCTGCATTACAAGATGATCTTCCTGAAGAATAAGAAAAATCTAACCCTTTTAAACAACTTCTTCCAACTTGAGCCTCTCAAAATATCAAACGCAGATGTGCAAGAAAAGAAAATGTTGGGAAGACGCCTGCTAAACTGATATGAAAAGTTGTCGATTTGGTGCATATATAATGCAGCATGCAGATAGATTTTAAAACTAATAAATTAGTAAATATAGAGAGAGTATTAAAGCACTGGTGATGCTTCTAATATTCTTTGAAATTTTCTTATAATATTTCCTGCTCCTGGAAACAGGAATGGACTTAAATTGTTCTCATCGATGGAGTCTCGTAAAGCGGACATATCCTGAAAATGATTCGATTCGTTATGCTAGACATCAGTATAACACACTTTAAAAAAAGAGAAATAAAAGTTTGGCATTTTCGAAAATATCACTTTTACATGTTCATGTTTCATATATAACAGTTTTTCGTATGTTTCTAATGCAGTAATTGAAATAACAAATGTACGGATTTGTGCCTTTAATTTGATATTGATAACATACAATAGATGAAGAAATAACTTCTAATTCTGACAGGAAAATGACTATAATAGTCCTAAAATGAAAAGATTGCTAATTACTTTGCTACGGTATTCATTAAACAAAATATCTTCTAAAACCAAATTAATTTAATCCTCCAATGAAAAAATTTCGGTTGAATTTACCTTTATCTCTTATGCTGAACAAATAATATCCTAACTAAATAACTGTACAGTGGCGCCCGAACTAAAAGTTGATTCTTCACCAACAGGATTTGGCGACTGGGTCCCGTAATCCCAGTCGCCCTTTAAAGGGGGTATATATAAAAGGTATTTTCTCCGTCTTTTCTGCATCCCTTCGAGGTGTAATGGTTGCATTTCAATGTTTTTTATTTACGTTGAAATTAAAAAAGATACAATGCAATTTGAGTTTAGGTTATGTAACTCAGGAAACTGAGTCACGTATATAATACATTTTTTCTATATTTTGCATATGCCGAATATGTGTTTATGTACTGAATCTCTATCGGGACTCCGTCGGATATCACTTAGTGTTTTAACGAAACATATGAGAACTATATAGCAGCATTGGCGACTATACAGCGGCTGGTGTTTTTAATATCTTAGACCGCTTTCAATTTCTCTCTTTGTTTAATGTTTTTATTTCTATCCACTTTTAGATGAAATGAAGTATTCTGACGTAGAAAATGAGGCTAAATTTCAAGAAACTTTCAGAAATACTTCTGATACCGAGTAGCAGCAGGTGCTTATACCATTTATACTATTACAGTAACAAAGAAAAGATATTTTATGTTGTTGAAAAACAAGTCTAGACAGCATATGTTTGTCGAACGTTTCTTACTGTGACTTTTCACTTGAACTGAAACTTCCCAATTAAATGCTCACTCTGTTTTCTTTCCTTCTCTTTTTAATTAAAATAATTCTTTGATGATGATAAGTTGAAAATAAAAATTACTTCCCACATAAGCCACCTTATATGTGATCAGATAGTTTACAAAAGCTAGACCTGTAGAATTAATCAATTTTCTTCTTTTTCTTACTTTCTTCCAATCTATAATTATCTGAAAGGAAGGTGATGTTTTAGGTCCGAATATTCGATAGTGAATTTTAAGTGAATAAACACACACTAGGATCCATACAACATGTTTTGAATATTTTTACAATGATGTCTGTGTATATGCATAGATTTTTCGTCATTGTAACTCTTACATAAAACTGTAATATCCTAGTTAATTATTTTTTCTTGTAAGCTAGAATATTAAAGAACTGTGTAGATTTTGCAAAGTAAGTAACAAGCCCAAAGAAGGGTTAAATTTGCACTTTATTCCAACTCAAAATGAATGTACAGATGGCCCATCTCGGGCGTACAATAAGCCTCCACTTGAGCTTTAAGTGAAAATATAAAACTAGTCTAATACTAAATAGAACCAGCTGAAACTACACAGAACCAAGTAACGGAGTTGGCCCTTATTTAATGATCACCGGCGTATACTGGCAGAACTAGCGGCGTATACTAGTAGTACGACACTAGAACAATAAGCAAATAACAACAACGTGGCCGAAAGACAGAACATGTTCTCCTACTGAAGTTATCCAGACTTCAGCTTAAATACTCGTTTTTAATTCATTTGCATTAATCGTAATCCTAAAAACTCATTCTGGTAGGGAAAAGTAGATGGGAAATGAGAATGTAGAGGAAAAGTTTGTTCCAAAATAAAAATAACTATTAGGAAAATAAAGTGAAACTTCAAAAATTTCTGTTTTCGAGGTTTAAGCTTTCTTCATTCATATAAGGAGTTAATTATATTTTGGGTAAAATTGAACGTCAGGAAGTCATCCTTTACTTAAAGCCCATAACAGGTTTTCTGATAATCTATATTAAAATACAATCCAAATCTTTTCCAAGTTTAGTATTTAAGACTTTTGTATCAATGGAACAACATACTAGATTTTGGTTAAAATTCATAAATCGGAAAAGATACTTTATTTGAAGCTCTGAAGCGACTTTCGTAAAAACAAATATTATGAGATAATACACAACTTCTCAAATTTGGTATTTAAAATAGGTATATGATTGAGAACAACATATTACATTTATTAGCATTAAATATATTCTTGTAATTATGCTAAATGCAACGAGAATAAGGTTACTATGAAGACAAGCTCCTTAAGGTTATCATGAAGACGGCCTGCTTAAGGTTGTCATGAAGATGAGTTATAATGCATTGAGCCTTAGTTCTCAATTCTGTATTTGTTTCACTTTTGTATCGAATCCCTTTTCAAGTAAAATGATGCTGCAACCAGATGTTATCGCAACGTATTATTTTTAAAGAACTAGAATAAAGAATATAGTAAATATAAATAATATAGCGAATATGAAAAGAAAATGCGTGACAACTTTTAACATTCTCTCGAAAATTTTGCTTTTAGAAACTTCGTGATTGTTAAGTCACTGATTTGTGAATCCACACCAATATACAACCAAAGCGTATACTGATCTTGGGTTGTGTTTGCAATTAACATTGAGCTATAAAGCTTAAAAGCATATTAGGTTTTATTTACAAACAATCAACCGTAAGTGATAGTTTACTTACAGTCGACAGCTATTCCGCCAACTCTATGATATTATGAATATGGCGGGATGTTATGTGCTGGCCAGAAATCAATATAAGATATTTAAGAAAGACTGAAAGTATTAATGTGGATGACATCAATGAATTATTCACTGATTACAGAATTATCGATAGTGAGTCAAATGAAACGATATCGATAGTGAGTCAAATTAAAGTCACTTTCTCTAAATCTGTTTGTGACCCCAAAAGAGCAGTTTCATTCAGTGTATGAAATATTGAGACTTAAAAACTGTTCTAGTGAATTTCAAAAAATGCACTCTGCCACAAAAAATATATGCACCCAGAAGAAATCTAGCCAATCACGAAATTCAGCAGGAATGCACTCTGGTAAGAGATATGCAAATGATTTAAATTTCGAAGGCGAATGTGACATGATTAAGCGCCCTATGCACATAAGAGATGCGCAGCTGGAAGAAATTAATAGCATGATTGCTCGTGTCGTACGGCTATTCCAAGTCGACAAGTTCGTCGACTTGGATGGACGGTACTGTGACTAGAGACGCCTCTGCGAAGTAATCGGCGACAGTACGAACAATTGTCGGGCTTTGAAAAAGGCGTATAGAAGGACTCAGAGAATCAGGTTGATCGAACAGGCGTATCGGCTGTCACCACGGTCGGAGCGATATGGTAGTTGCTTGGTGTTGGCGACAATAGATCACGAAGGGATGACCTCGCAGAAGGTCAGGGCGTCACAGGAACACAAATGAGCACGATGATCGCGCATTCATAACACTTCTGCACCAACAACGTCATTAGCAATCGATTCGACGCCACTTCCCACCTTCTAGGCATCTGGCAGTAAACCAGAGGAAATCATTCTCAGACGACTGGACGATGCTGGTTTATGCTGCCAACGTCCATTAGGGCGCCTACCACTGACCTCACATCATAGGCAGAATGGACTAGATTTTTTGCCAAGCTCGAGCAAGCTGGAATGTAACCGACTGGAGACGTGTGATCTTCAGTTAAGAATCTCGATTCAATCTTAAGTCTTATAACCAATGCACACGCATCTGGAGGCGGCTAGGCCAATGGCCCGATCCGGCATTTGTTGTTGAACGGCATAAGGAGTATGGGGAGAGATTTGCTGGGAAACATGAGCCCCTAGTCGTCCTTCAAGGCACTATGACTGCTCGTAGTTAACGTGGAAGATATTTTAACCTCGGTTCTACTACCTATTGTATCAAGTTGCCCAGATGTGATTTATCAGCAAACCAACGTTCGTCCACAAACTTGCAAATCTTCCCCAACAATGTCTTTAAGGACATGACGTACTCCAGTGGTCTGCAAGGCCACCAGACCTCTCGCCAATACAGCACGTTTGGGATATGTTTGGAAGGTAACTGAAGCCGTCCCGGAATATTGGTGAATTAACTGGCAGTTGCAAAGATTACGGCATAATCTTCCACAGAGAGTCATAGATATCCTATTTTACTGATGCCACGCCGTGTTTCGGCTTGTAGAGCTGCCAGAGGTGATTACTTACTGATTTGTACCCTTTTAAATGCCGTAACGTTTTAGTAAAACGATCTTTTCTTCTGAATTTGTAATCATATGTTTATTTCTTCATACCTACATATATGGTAAGTTCATGAGTTTCCTTCTGAGTGTATATATTTTTTTGTGACAGATGGTGTATGCAGCAAAAGATAATTTGAAAACAAATAGAAAGTACCGATTATTGGGTACGTCAATTATGAAATTGAAATAGCACTGCCAAGTATGTCAAGTGATGAAGGTATTGAGTTCGATGTAGTTAAAAAATGAGTGTTTTAAAATGCATTCTGGTACCGAAAATGATTTAAATTTGTTCTGATTTTTGTGAACTTTCATTTGTGAATTTGGAAGTACAATTTCTTTTTTTACCAGAATATATTATACAAATACCGTAAGACTTCGTCATGTTTGGATTTTAGGCATTTTTTCACACTAATGTATTCTAATGAAAAACGGGACTACATATTGCATATAAATAGAGGGGCCAATATATAAATATTTCAGAGCACATTTTTTCTATTTCTTCACGTGTATTTATAGCATTAACTTGAGCTTCAGGTATATATATATGAAACAAAAATTTCAACCCTATCTTTTAACTTGAATTTTGTAAGCACAGTAAATTTTTCATAACAGAAAATACATATCAATACTGATGTACGTTTTTTAATTGATTATATTATTAATTAATTTTTAATATTCATTACATTATTATGTAGATTCTTATACTGCTGTACATTCTTATCATAGGCGACTCGCATAAATTCTACAAAAATCTGCGAAAAAAAGGAGTTTTACAAAGCATAAAATAATATAATACCTAGGGGGAAATTAATTGCTTGCCTTTTAAGTGACCTTCAGAGACAGAGGTAGGAAATGCATGTTACCTACATAAAATAAAGTAAAAATTAATTAGAATCATATAAACATACCAAACAGCAGAAAATTTAATCCGATAGCAAGAATTAAGAAAAAAATATTCAGTAATTGCCAAAAAATCTAAAACATGAAATATAGCAAAAATAGAAGACCAAAATGCATGATTTTGACCTAAAACGTAGAAAGGTAAGTAACGTATATCCAAATGCATTAAATTAAAATTTAAGTGTGATAATAAGTAGATTTTAATTAATAAAAGCTGAAATAACTTAATTGTTGTTTATTTCCAACACATTTTGTTCATCTAAAGCCGTAAAAGCATTTTAAGTGACCTTCAGAGTCAGTCAACGAACATTTTAAGCGAAAGTCATAAGAATAAAAAAAATAAATCAGAAAAAGATATAAATATTCATTTTACACTAAACAAAAATGTAAATGGAGCATAAAAAGTAACACGTAAATACAGAAAATGAAAATTTATTACCAAGAGAACATAAACTGCTAAAAAAAGTTTCTCACCACAGTAACGAAATGTTAATCCAAAATGCTTCACAAAACAGCTCTGCAGTACATATATTTCAAAAGAGACAAAAGTTAAAAATTGTTTGCTTATTTGCAAGATTACCTTGGAATAGATAGAGCATTTTATTTCAAAACAATAATATTCAAAACCATACAACACTTTATTTGAAAACCTGGGCTAAAACGCCTTTTTCATCTTCCTAATTTTCAAATTTACTTTCACGTGTTCTCAGCGCTATTCCACAAAATTAAATTAACAGATGATGACCGCTGAAATTATTAAACAATTATTATTATTTAATTATTATTAAAAATACATCAGTAAGTATTTCCACATCATTTACAGAAAGAAAACAATTATTATCATGAATATGGACTTGATTAAATGGTAGCATTTCCTTTTTTCCTTAACATGTTTCACTTTGAAAATAATTTGCTAAGAATGGAATTTAAAACTTAAAAGCAGAATCTAAAATTTCTCTGCAAAGTTTCTGCAATGAAACAGAGCCGCAGAATGTAAGTGTTTGGACGGTTTATAACAGAATATTTTTCAAAAATTGCAAGAATTGGCGCATTTTCAAATTTTGCTTACATATGCTGTTCCAGAAGAAAAGAAAGAAAATTCAAGATAAATTATGTTAAAGTTTAATTTGAGCAATGCATTGCATGAAGATGACTATAAATATGTTTCTAATATTCAAAATATAAAAAAATTAAAATCCTAAAATGTGTGATCGTAGGTAAAAATGCCTGTCAAATTCAAGTTCTATGTTATTCAACCTCTTTGTTTTGTAACCTAATTCTTTTTTAAATAAAGAAGTTTAATTATTTTAAATACAAGGGGTGATCAAATGAAAAGACGAAACGACGTAAAAACGTAACAGTTAAATATATGCATATTCCGCCATGGGAAAACGTAGCGAGACATCTCGGGATGCGATTGGAGTCTCTGACTGGGATCGGAGCATGCGCGAGCGTCCGCATGCGCAGGAGAGAGCAGAGGCTCTTATCAAAAGCGGCTTCCAAATGATTCGGCAGTCCGTATGAGGACAGGATGGCGTTCGCGTTACAAAATTCGACGACTGAGGAGCAGCGAGGCGTTATCCGATTTCTGGCAGCGGAAGTGAGAAACCGGCAGCTATTCATCGCCGGGATGGAGACAGTTTACAGGGAGAAATGTGTCTCTGACACGTCTTTCAGAAAATGGAGGGCCCGTTTTCGTGCAGGCCGTGAGAATGTGGGTGATGACATGAGACCAGGCCAGGCAAACGCTGTCATTACGAGCGATCTCATCGACAAGGTGGACGACATAATGAGAAGTGATCGGCATGTCGCATAGCGAATGTTGACAGTGAAGTTGGATGTCAGCTATGGAACCGTGTGGACAATTGTTCACGACAAGTTGCGATATTGGAAGGTGTGTGCCGCTTGGCTTCCGGAGCAGCTCACCGACCAGCAAAAGGAACTGCGTATCAACATCTGTTTCGGTATGCAACGTTTCGGTATCAGAAAGACCCCGCTTTCATGGAGCAGTTCGTCACAGGTGATGAGACCTGATGCCATTACTATGAGCCAGAGACAAAGCGGGACAGCATGCAGTGGAAGCATGCGTCGTCACCTCCCCCTAAAAAGTTCAAAGCCGTGCCGTCAGCAAGCAAGGTGTTCCTCACAGTCTTTTTCGACGTTCAAGGTCCGCTACTTGTGGAATTCCTCGAGCGCAGCAAAACCATTAACTCTGATGTGTACTGTGAGACACTCCGACGCCTACGAAGGCCATCAAGAACAACCGACCGGCGCTGCTCACGGAGGGTGGGGCTCTGCTCCATGATAACTCGCGTCCACACGTCTCCAGAATCACACACATGGAACGGGCCAAGTTCAAGTGGGAGACGTTGGACAATCCGCCCTACAGTCCGGACATGTCGTCCTGCGATTTCCATGTGTTTGGTCAACTGAAGAAACACCTGAAAGGGAAGCGTTTCAACTCGGATGACGTACTCAATGACACTGTAAAGCACTGGGTCTCGTGACGGCCACAGGAATTCTGAGAACAAGGAATCCTGCGGCTTGTTCACCAGTGGGATCGTTGTGCTCAGGCCTATGGTGTTTATTTTGAATAAAGACATTTGTACCCACCGTGTCGTTTCGTACCTTTTCATTTAATCACCCCTTGTATGAACTATGTGTGTGTTATATTCAGAATAAAAATTTATTACAGAAGTTATTCTCTTTAACAAATCAAGAGAAAAATATTTTGTCTTCCACTTCATGTTAAGTCCGTTCGTTACCTACAGATTATTTTGCCCAAAATTATTTCGTAATTTGTAGTAAAATAATCTCAAGATAACGGACTTGACATGAAGTGGAAGACAAATTATTTTTGAGTTTCTAAATTTTTATCTAAAAATTTTCAATTGATCTTTTTATATTTTAAATTGTCGAAATATATTTATAGTCATTGCTCAAATTAAACTTTGAATATTAATTTATCTTCAATTTTTTTTCTTTTCTTCTGGGACAGCATATGTAAGCAAAATTTGAAAATGGGTTCATTACAACTTTTATATCAATTATAAATTTCAAATTCTGAAAACCTTATCTGCGATGTTATAGTCATGCAATGATTTATAGGCATTTTATTTTCTACCACGATATTTTCGATGATGATGTTTTGTACCATGATGTTTTAGAACTGCGATGTTTTCTTCTTGCTTTCTTTTCTTCGATGTTTTGTTCGCTGACGTTTTCTCCTGGTGTTGTCTTCTCTATGACGTCTTCGTCCGCGATGTTTTCAAAGAACACTGTTTACAAGATGATAATTTAGACCGGGGTTCTCAACCCGGGAGGGAGGAATTACCTTGGGAATCTGACAGTTTCAAATGAACACGGTCAGCCTTTTATTTATCTATTTTTTCGAGTTTTCGAAAAGAGGGGCTAATGACCTTCCAGAAATGGTGAAAGAGGTGCATGGAGCAAAGAGGCAGAGAATCTCTGATTTAGACAAAGCATGCTTATTATTGTGTGAACCTTTTACAGAGTAAACATGAATACAAATTATGCTTTAGAAAAAGTGAAAAGAGTGCAAGAAAAAAGTGCTAATAATCAATCTGGATATTAGCGTACACACACATGCAATCATACATATATAGCACATATACCTACACACTAATAGCACATATATACGCACTAATATCACATACATACACACTAACAGCACAGGGTGTCCTATTAAGACCGCCCAAACTCTATGCAGTCAGATTCATTGCTTGAAATCGATAAAAATTGTCCAAAGAACTGTACATGCCCAGCCATAATTTCCAAGATAAATGCAAAAGAAAAGTGTGACATCATATCAAGTACAAGACAAAAAAAAATGATTGCAAACGTGAATAACAGTATTTGTGTATGTTTAGACAGGAAGATGCTCAAAATGTCCCCAGCGCATATCGAGGTATGTTTTGCTCCCACCATGGAATGTCTTACTGCACATATTGCTGCAGCCCACCAATCCAGTGTCTTGGCAATTCCATATCTGCGAAGATTACGAGTAGCTAAATGTAGCTTTTCAAATGCGGTCAAAACGACGGCTTGACGTCATTTCACGGTGCGCCTTTGCATGCCTCGATATGCGCTTCAGACATTTTGAATATCTTCCTATGTAAACATCATGCCCCTAATAAAGTATTTTTTTTACTTGCACCATGATGACATTATGCTTTTCTTTTGAATTTTTCTCAAAAACTATGGGTCGTACAGGTACAGTTCTTTGGTCATGTTTTATGTATTCCAAGGGAGGAAACTGGCTATGCACAGTTTGGGCGGTCTTGATGGGATACACTTAATATATAGGTATAAGCTATATAATTTCTATAGCTATAACTATGTTTACATATGAGGACATTTTATACATACGAAGTGTGGCACACAAAAAACGAGATTTGTCCAATAAATCCTTGTACTTACAGAATCACCTACCCGTGACATTATCATCTTCAAAGCAGCCTCCTTCAGCATTCACGCACACGTTTGCATTCGGTGCTGCCATTGCTGGTAAGTGTTCTGGAACAAGGTTTTTGGAAGGCCTTTCAGGAGATTCTCCGTTTTTGCCTGAACTTCTTCAACTGAGGTAAAATGGCTTCCCTTTAAGCAAGATTTAACTTTAGGAAATAAAAACGTCACATGGAGCCAAATGAGGTGAATAAGGAGGATGCCCCATCAAAGTAATGTTTTTGCTGGCCAGAAACTGCTTGGCAGATAGGGCCATGTGAGCGAGTGCATTGTCCTGGTACAACAAACATCCATCACTCTACAACTCTGGCCTTTTTTCCATAATTTTTTCACGAAGTCTTTTTAGTACTTTAGTGTTGATTAACAGTCTGACCACTGTGAACCCTCTCAATTATTACAATTCTATTAATGTCGAAGAAGACAATTAACATTGCCATGAATTTTGATTTTGACATGCATGCTTTGTGACTGCCCCCTG